CTCAGATGATAGATCCTCTGCTGGATCAAACTTCACCTTCCTCAGTAGCTTCCAGAGTAACTTGCTTGCAGAAGGTCTAAAGAATCAGATTGGTTGGGGGCACGTGTGGAACCGATTTGCTGGTACGTTAAGCTGCCACAACCAATCTAAGCAATGTGCTCATACTCCTATTCTTCCGCCTGCATGGTGGGATGGACTTTGGCAGTCACCTATTCCACGGGATGTACACAGAATGGAAGCATATGGCATCCGCCTTTCTGGTTTTGGGACATTTGATGACAATCAGCTACACTCTTTCTGTAGTTCAAGGAAACAATCTGTGCTTACCGTTCCATTAATTTAGATATGTTGTTAGCCACATTCATTGGGAGATTTCTCCTGGTCATGCTGATTTTATTTTGGCATTGATTTATTTTTTTCCAATTAGTGCGCTACTTGAGCTGATGCATGTCGAATGCTGTTGTATTCCCGAATGGCCGGAACAGATCCTAAAGACCTGGAGTTACTGAATTTAAATTACCAACAACAGTGGCATTAATGTCAAATTCTAAAATATTTGCAGTCGTCCTTATGAATTCTCACTTAAATTTGCTTCATTTGGATCTTCATTCTAATATTAAATAACTTTGGTCTTTTCTTTAAAAAAAATATATTAGATCCTTCTTTATGGTTTCTATTGATATGCACATCTCTAAACAAGCTTGGTTGTCTACGATTCTTCCTCGAACCTGATTTCTATTCATATACACCTCTAAACAAGCCTGGTTGTCTGTGATTCTTCCTCGAACCTGCGTGAACGTGAATTATCCTGTGCATCAAACTGCCCTTTTTGTGGTATTATCTATATGAATCTTTTACTTACATTGTGTAATGTTTTTGGGATGTTTGTAATTATTTTGAGAGATTGTAGACAGTTTTGCTCCCATATGACTCCACTGGTGCACGAACATGTTGATCCACCAGAAAGCACGTTTTTTTCTTCTGTGTTAGCTAATCTAACAATGGGATTACACCCACGAAGTGTTAACTTTAGATTACAACAGAAAGCTGAACACTTAATACACATTGATATAAAGTAAAAGCAAGCTAGCCTATTTCTATCAACTCATCTTAACAGGAATAACATCTATCCTGAACTCCAAATCTTCAACTGGAATCTCCCTTCAAACTTGCTCCAATCTAATTCAACACATACTTTTGATTAGGGACTTGCTACTCAGAGCGCGATGGAGTGTCCCACTGGTCTAACGACGACGTCTAGTCTAAGTCTTGCGTTGGCGTGTAGCAGCGCCATCGCCTCAGCTCTGTACTCCATCGAATTGCTCAGCAGCAGTATCAGCTTGCTCCCTTATATCCCATTGCATCAAGTTGTCTCTGTAGCCTCCTCGCCTGCTTGCGGTCTCCATTGTCTCGAAAACCCAATATCTTCTTCTCAATGCTTCTTATCCCTATTCCCCTGACGCAGGAACTCATGAATACGTTTCTCCTTGACTACCACCTCAGAAAACATCGCAAACGCCTCCTTCCGGCTTTCTTCTAATACCCGATTTACCCTTGTTCAACTCGGCATAATACTCCCAGCACTTCTCATTCAACTTCAGGTTGCTAATAGGAATATAATCACACACTGGCTTGAAATGCTTCCGATGCTCAGCAATATCACTCTTCATCTTCTCACGCCGCATATTGATTTCTTCTTCTACAGCGGCGATCTCCTCCTCAGCAACTGTCCTAATCTCCTTCACCCCTTGAAGCATCTCATTCCTCTGCAGCTCAAACTTGGCTAACCTATTCACATCCGGAACATCACCACTTAGCCGCCTCTTCATCTTCACTGCAGCAACAAATTTCTGGCCATCCTCTGTTGTCAACCACGTATTCCATGTAGTATTAGCAATATTCTCCAACTTCCTTGCCATCAATATCATCAGGGGTCTTGTTGCGAAAGATTCGTATCAACTTCAAATTCTGATAGGGTAGAAGCCTATTCTCCCTCAAACCCTCCTCAGTAAAGAACTCCTCCGGCACCATTGACTGCCTCATCAAAACCTCCCCCAGCTCCCGAATCTCTTTCATCTCAGCCTTTCTCTTCTTCGTAAACATGCTCCCACTTCCAGTTGCGCAATCTCAAACCAGAACTAAGCCTACGCCTACGCCTACGCCCACGCGTCGTCGTACCTGCAAATTAAAGAGAACAAAAGAATGCCGACTCGATGCAAGTGTTCACCAGTGAAAGATTAATAATCCACTAATGTAGTAAAATTTTCATTACCAGTTGTTAGTGATAATTAAAAAAGTGTCGTCCATTTGTATTCAGGGGTAGAAGGATCTAGGCAGGCCACGTATTGAATGAAAATGTTAAACGTGGAGGATGGAGGGAACAAGTTAGTATAAAAAGAAGCCACATCACCACGCGGAATCAGAACTGTAAGGTCTCTCCAGGTCGCTGGATTCCAAGTCCAGAGTGCTAACCGCTACACCATGAAACCAATTGGTAGTTGGATTTAACTTGAAATTTAAATATCGTTTATTTGACTGATAGTACTAATATATTGTCTCTTGTTGCTCTCTTGAGCCGAGGGTCTCCTGGAAATAGCTTCTCTGCCCCTCGGGGTAGGGGTAAGGTCTGCGTACATATTACCCTCCCCAGACCCCATTTGTGGGATTATACTGGGATGTTGTTGTTGTTTATTTAACTCCCAGCAACCGGCAAAAAGAATACCCCGTCAGTTGAGCCACAATATACTCATGTTAAATTTACTCAATTATAACAATTGAACTCGCAGTTGATTGTCTATGATCGAACGTCACACATGCCTTAGAATATTTTCTGGTAGTGGCTTTAGGAAATGACATTTTGTATGTAACGTGCTCATTCTGTGTTGCATTTGTTGAATAGTCTCTTAAACTCTCACAGATATTCTCTTACGCTGTGTGTATGTTGGGGGTGGGGTGTCGCTTACTAGGGTAAAACGTTGGCTATCATTTTATACAGCTGGGTTGTTTTACTAGCACCTCGGAGGTCTCCCTCATCAGTTTGTCAGTTGCAGTTTGGTTTAGAATTATTTCTCAAGTTATGTTATTGTTCTTGGAGAATAATATTAGGATCCAGGATTATTCAGTAAAAAAAAAAGATTAGCAAGGTTATTCATTTCATTTTTAGATAGTCACAAACTGGGAGACGGGGTAAGTTACATGAAATAGATTTTCAAATATACGCACGAGCCACATGGAAATAAAGCAAGGGAGCTTCGACAACCTCATTGATAATAGGCTATAATTGCATATTTTAGTCGATTATTACACTCTAATTTACTGCACTTTAGTTGAGTTTGCGCTTTAATTGCTAGTGTTTTGCACTAATTATGTGTTTTATGCCTTGTAGGTGTGATTCCGAGCTATATAGATGTTATGGAATGAATTTAAGTAATTTGAAGCTTTGAAGTCTGAGTAAAAGCTCAAGGAATTAAGCCGGGATCGTGTTCGGGGGTCAAATTTGATAGTTGAGAACAAACGAAGACTCGATGAGGCATATTGCGTACTGTCTAGTAAAATGCACATAACTTTTTATGGATAACTCCATTTTGGCTCCATAATATATGGTTGGAAAGATAACTCAAAGGGCTACAATTTTCATGTTTTTCTTTTTTCCAAATTCAAAACGGAACAGGATGAAAAACCGCGGTTTCACAGCGACANAGTGTATCTCGGGAGAGTGCAATAGTATATTACTGTGATTACTCGGGAGAGATTTATGGTAAGACGAGCGTTCATGATTGATAGAGAAGTGTTGGTACATTTGTATGAAGCATAAACAGAAGGGATTCCATCAATAGGGGAAATCTTTACCTTAGCTTTATCTCCTCATTGTTTACAACCTTAGCGTTTTAGTTTACAGCCTGTTTAATTTACTTGCAATCTTAGTTACTAAAGAAACCATCAACTTGTGATTCAAACATTTGGGAAGCTGGTTCTGAAGAGTTTAGTGAGTCTAAAGATTGTGATTGATAGGTTAACTCTCTGTGGGATTCGACTCCGGACTTGTAAACCGGATTATATTTGCAACGACCGCATTGTTTTTTTTATAAGGCATAGTTGGGCGTGATCACTCATATTCGAGTGCGCACAACCTGAATCCATCGCCAATAAAGATATATGATTGTCGAAACTCTTGAATTAGTTTCTGGTTTTTTTCCTTTTGGGGTGACTTGTGAGGAAAATATGAGTCGTAGAACGCTCTCTTCCAAGAGGAATCGGAAGAAAATATAACATCGTAGTGCAGGGAGTTTGAATTGAAGTGAGGATTAGTAGTTAAAGTTTCCACTCTGTAGTCATACCTTTGACTTCTGGAGTATATCATATTGGATAATCTTTCTGCTCAACGTAAACGCATGTTTTCATGCAATGTTTGTTCCTGTCAATTTTTGCGTTGAAACAAGTAAATTATACAACTTCACATCTCAAGCACTCTGCAATTCTTACTTAATGGATGCAATAGAAAACCGTATTTTTCCAAAATGTATTAATCTCTTAAAGTCCAGTCCTTGATCGGGAAACAAACATAAAGTATATACTTATCATCTGCAGTAACATAAAACATACACATGATAGTCCATGACTATTCAAGAATGGGTTTATTACATCCGAATCCATCAGGAGCACAAAGTCCTTTCTAGCAATTCTTGCAACTCTCCGCTCTTGTATGCTTCTGTAATAACAGAAAAAAAAAAATGCAACTTGTTAGACTCCAATCAGCATGAATCAGAACTTGAGGCAAACCATGATGAAGGCAGCAGGCATTGAGTGCTCAAATTTTTGTCTTTGCACTGAAGAGATGAAAGCTGAAGTAAATTCCAAAAAACTGAGTATAATACACGCTTGTTATGATAAATTAGCAGTGATCTAACGAGTCAAGATAGTCAAAGTGGAAAGAAGTTGGCCCCAGTTGCATGCTTAGACAGCCAATAAATATCAACATTGAAGGGTGATTGAAAAGATGGAACAGGGAGGTATTCAGTAGAATGGAGATCAACATAGCGACCTCGCTTACAAGTTCTGGAAAGAAAAGAGATGGGAGGGATACTATTGAAGGAGGAGGAGCTCAAAAGAAGGAATTCAAGGTCAAGTCAAAAAATCACTAGTAGTACAGTATAGATTATAGGAGGTGTGATGCAGGCACAAAATATGAGGTGATGAAAAAGGGAGATAATACTACATAGAGATAATAATACATGTTAGATAATAATACATGTTCTTTTAATAGAATGGTAAATGCACATGCAAGTTACGATTTGATTGAAATAATATATATTGATGGCCGAGAACTAGAGAAAGAAGGGGAACTCCAGGAGGGATTAACTTCACAATGCTAGCAATTGTATACTGAGAAAACTAACCATCAGTATTACGACAATACTAAACAATCTTATTCACCACAGGAAGAATGCCCTGATCTGTTCAGATTTGCCTCACGTCCAAATTCTAATTGTTCAAGCCGCCACTCTTATAAATCAGAACTGCTGCTTGTGTTTGAAACTCCTTAGAGATTGCAGAGACTAGGGATCGAAATGGTCAAACAACTCATGGTCAGGTTGCACGTTTTCTAAGTAATATTCTTGGAATTTAATGCACTGATCTATGTCATAACCTTGGAACTAAACACACTGATCTTGACAGAAGGAAAAAGTGATCTTCCCAATGAAATCCTTCTACATTTAATTGGATAGACTGTAGAGGCAGGATGGAAGATGTCCAATATACATGAAAATTCATCTGGAAGACAAAGCCTGCCATGAAGGTAGCCTCCTTTGGGCAGACAATAGGATGGAAGTTGTCACACTCAAGATTATCTAACAAAAAGGGAGAATATGTGGAGCAACGAAACTACATGTTCATGCCCTGGGTAAAATCAGTGAATAACATTTTCAACACTGTGAGGTAGCTAATGATATAGAGAATATGTTTAGACGTCTGCAATGAATGGGTTATGTATAGATAATTCTTGAGTGTCCATCCATATGGAAAAGGTTCCCAGTTAGAAAGACAGTAAACAAATTTTGGGAACACTGGGATAGAATGCCTTTATTTCGTTCTCATTTAGAGTTAATTTAGAGAGATTAAAAGTTTGAGACCTTAAATTGAGCGACTTGAAAGTAATAGAGCAATTTGATAAAAGTATGACAAGGTTAGTAATAGAAATGCAAGACTCAAGAGATAGCAAAGATATTCTTACCCATATTAAACCATAGTTTCAAAAGAATCGAAGAGAAAACAATTTAAAACACTTCAAGAGATCTGAATGACTGGAAAAAGAACTAGCTTAGCAGTTGAGTGTTGGGAAAGAGAAGACATGATCAACAAGGTGAACCATTTGGCTTAGGAGGTTGTTCTTACAATCTCCAAACTATTATGTAGTAGTTATGTTTGATCTTCACAGCAACAAAGTGCCCAATCCCAGAGTTCAAGAATTATGATAATTTATCGTGAACAAAATTCCAACTTGACAGTAGTTCATCAAAATAGCAAACAACCAGGAAAGTAAGAACTATTCACTAAACCTACAAGTTTGTCAATAAAATCTAAAAGGAAACAAGAAATTCCTTCTTGAGAGACCAAGGTCTGAATCCCGGCAAACACAAAAACAACTAGGTAATTTCTTCCCATTTGCCTAAGCATGGGCAATGTTACTTGATACTTGTGCTAGTGCGAAGCTTGTACACGAGAATAGTCGAGGAGAGTGCATGCTCAAAAATTAAGTTTTCTTTTACGCATATCAAAGTATCAATTTGTATACCTACCTACAGTGATGTCACAGCCACCAAAGAACTCCCCATCAATGTAGAGTTGTGGAAAAGTTGGCCAACTGGAATACTCCTTCAATCCTTGACGAAGTGCTTCATTTTCAAGGATATTTATTGTCTCGAAGGGTGCATTTAGCGATTTTAATATCTGCACAACGGTATTTGAGAATCCGCATTGTGGAAAGTCCTTGGTACCCTTCATGAACAGCACAATTTTTTGTGATGTGACAACCTTATCCAGTGTATCCTTCAAGTTAGGATTCAGAGCTACAGGAACATGAAGGTGCATCCAAACACATGTCAGCAATTCTTAATTCTTTGAAGCTAAGAAATTAAAGAATACAGAGACTAATTGATAAATTCCCCAAGTATTAGAAGAGAGAAATATAAAAACATTGATAGACAAAGGCTAAATGAAAAAAAGGACTCCCTTGTGTATATCAGAAGTTTACAAGAAAAAAGATGCACACAACCTGGAGCAGCCAAAAGGTCTGAGGTTAACAGGTTTCTCTATGTCACTTATTTGCAGGCATAAATCGAAAATTGTAAATTTTATCTGGGTGCTTTACTAAAAAGCATCGAGCAAGCATCTATGCCGCCAAAGCCTGATTGAAAGGATGTCATTCACCGAAGGTTTCTTTTCAACAAGACCATCCTTAACATCACAACTCTTCTCAATGACCTACAAACAATGCCAATACAGAGGACGTACAATATCCTCGAATAATATCTACTTTCATCTAGATCTTGCTTTACAAATTGCCTCTTCTAGCAATCAAGTATCTTCTACTAAGTGAGCTTCTACTAACAAAGAGAATACTAACAACCTTGGTGGTATTTAATGTACCTTGCACAAAACTTTTAAGCTTTCTCACCACCTCTGAGACTAACCTCCCCACCTCGCAGGACTGGTAAGAACGTAAATCGATTTAGCCAAGTATTTATACTTGGGATCTCGATCTATGAATGCTTATAAAAATGAGTGACTTACTAAGCTATTTACTTTGTTTGCATTGATGATAAGAATTACATCATTAACCGCTATTTGAATCTAACAAGTCATTCTTAGAAAACAAAACGATCCCAAATTGTGCGTAAGATCATGGTTTAGATAAGCCAATCAACAGATACTATAACTTACTACTAATTAAAACGCAATTAATTCAAGTCACAAAAAGCAACCTGCCAGGAAGAGGCATAGATTTGCCCTCTTGATTTAGTATCTAAATTTCACCAGAATTATCTGACATTACCATGTACTAACTTCCAACACCATCAGAAAATTAAACTTCTCCCTAATTAAACCAGAGGCTTATACACAAATTCACTCAACTACACAAACAAACACAGAAGAAATAAACACATAAAGAGAGTTCTCCAAATTCGATTTTATTGAGAAATAAGTAGGACTACCTACACAGATTTAAAACCCTAATAAACTACTATTATAAGAAATTAAGAATCCATTTACCAGATAGGCAACGAACAGATCTTAACCGTCCGTCCCGGTTTCCGGTAGCAATTGAGATAGTGGGAATGTTCGAGAACCGAAGAGCACGGGCGAAAGGAGTAGTAGGGAGCGGTAGAGAAACATCCGCCGTGCGTGACTCAGCTCTAATGGATGGTGAAGTCCTGAAAAGCTGAGATTGAAGAGCAGGAATTGCGAGCGACATGGTCAATGCTTCTCACTTCCTGTGATGAACGGTGCTACTCCAATATTTAATCAAACAGCCAGCTGCTCCTAACCTTAGATTTACCTTCAGAGGACCCACCATACAAATGCTGTAACCTACAGGGTAGGAGTAAGTTTTAAATCAATCAAAAGTAATTGATCCTTATTCTTGTTCATAAATAACTCAAACATTCAACAAAGTATGCACCAGACTTCTTGTTCACATGGCTTAATATTATATCAATTTTTAAAAATTATGTACATAATATTTAATTTTGTGGAGAGACCATGAGTTTATGTGCGCCATAACCTTCCTATAAATTATATTATATCAATTTTTTAAAAAAATATACATAAAATAATTTATTTTACCGAGAGACCATGAATTCATGTGCCACATAATCTCCCTATAAATTCGCCCCGAGTATGATACTACTACTACTGGGACAAAACGTCAACGGTTAGTTATATGAATCTTCAACAATCATTTCATTTTGTATTTGTTAATGTCTTTTAGGATAGAATTAAAGGTTCTATAAAATTATGGATTCCATAATTCTCAAATTATTCCTACGCTGATATATAGTAGTAATTTTAACTAAATTAAAAATACTCATGCCAAACATTGATCTGCAATAATAACTATATATCTCAATCTCAACAAAATTGGTATTAGCCTATATGACTAGTTTGTTTCACTGAATCAGATTCTTCCTTGTACTGATTCTAAATGATTGCAAGTCTTGTTGACACAATTTCTCTCTTCACGAGTTTTGATCTACATTTTTCCTTTGGAAGTACATGAACAGTTATTTTTCCCTGTGTCACTTAGTGTGTCAAGTTTAATCATTGCTAATTTTGTCTAATTTGTATACACAATGAGATTTTGAGTGGCCGCATCTGTTAAGGGCTCTTTTAGTGCTAGGGATGATTTGAAGGAAGCAATAATTTGCATCATGAGAAGAAACACTTACACTTGAAGGTCATATGAATAGTAAGAAGTAAGAACATAGAAGAAGATTAAAGGAATTGAAAACTTTAGTAAGAGCTTACTCTTGCTCCAACAACCTGAATCACTGTGACATTTGTTTGGAAGAAACACGTAATTTTGGGGGAGAGAATTTAATAAGTTTCCAGCCTCTAGATTTTAAAGGTCTATTTGTCCAAATTTGTGCGAGATAATTGTTATATGGAAAATCAAACACCTGTTGGTTTCTTCTGGTCTTCAAAATATCACTAAATACATAAAGGTATTGTCCACAGTACACTTTCACTTTTTCTGCAGTTCTAGATAAACTTTTACCTTTCAAAATTGATGCCTAAAATTTAACTTGCTGCCGCAACAACTCCGTATAAAAGACTGGAACCCAGCTCTATCTCTAACTAACCTTAACTAGAGAAGCTGTAAAACCTAATGCACTCGCGTGGCTATACATATCAAATGAAAGAACGGCACTAGCAAAATTTGATTGATAAAGATCAAAAGGCCATCAATCAGCAAAGTGTGATACTGTTTCCTTAGACATGTACACCATTCCCGTTGCAATAAATCCCATCAAAAGATCCATTACCATTAGCAGTTGTTCCATTTCCAACTCGATGAACATTTTCCACTGATGTACCATTGGTAAATCCATTAGTCACTGCTTCACCCTTCTTCAAAAGAGATTCGAGCTGCCCACATGCTGCAGCAATAAGCCCTGTTCAGAAAAATAAGAATTAGATCATAATGAGGAGCACAATAACTAGTGATAAGCAAGAAAGTAAACCGGCAAAACCAACTCTTTCTTTGAAGTAGAAACCAAAATGTCGTGGATATTTCTCACTCCAAGGTTGAAATTTGTTTATTTCACCACAGATTCAGGCAGAAACAAAGTGCCAAACACACTTTGAACGTTGGTCACAGTGAATGGAGCGGAGTGAACCAATCAGAACCTGGACTTTAAGGTGTAATTTTTTGTTTGATCTGCGACTTCTAGACTTGGGAAACACATTTACAGCCTTCACAAAAAGAATGAGGCTTGCAAGACTGCTAGTTGTGGACAGCATACTCAACATAGAGCCTAAGTTAAAGAAACTAGTTTTTTTTTTCTCCAAAATCTAGTGGCATAGGAGTCGGTCATAATTCATCTTATTAAAAATGGGTACCCAACCAGATGCTCTACACAAAAGCAGCTCCCATGCAAAATACTTTTGTTCTGTAAGGATGAACAACCATGCAAAATAAAAATTGGTCAAAGTTCTATCCTTTCAACAAAGCTGATGCTGACATATAGAAGAACAAGATTCATGAAGTCAACTAGTTAAAGAAAGCAAACTAGAACTGACTTGACCGATGTAGTGCAGCAAGGTCAGAAGGTTTTAATGTGTCTCCCAAGACCAAGAAAACAAAAGACAATGCTCGAGAACTACTACTCATAACATTAGCTGTTGAACTTGCACCGCCAGTCGCCAGAAAAATCTTCATTCACTTAATTTCTTCAAACAAAGTACCAATCTTTAGTTTTAGGTCTACAAATTAAACAATCTAAGACGTGAACATTGACTTTTTTGGATTAACTAAAAGCCAGCCAGATAAAATGTGAAATGCAAGTCCAAATGTTAAAATGCCACTTCAAAAGTTCCAATGCGAGCATGAGTTATTTTGCTGGCTATGAACAGAAGTTTAAAGCAGGGAGGAATACCTAAGAACACGGCAGACGGTTTTCCTGGCCTTGATTTAAATTCAGGATGAAATTGGACGCCAATAAAGTAAGGGTGATTAGGCAGCTCGACAATCTGTAGAGGAAATAGAAAATTAAACCAACAACAATAATACAAGTATCTATCATGACTTAATAATTCAATTATACAAAGGTTCACCTCCATGCGGCGACCACTTTCATCTTTGCCGGTGAAAGAAAGACCAGCATCTTCAAATTGTTGCACCATATCAGGATTCACCTAAGTAGCACAAGACAAGTTTTTAGCATACATACCAAATAAAGATATCACATCTTATGGTCCACATAAAATTATAGCATTCCACCTAGGTGTGCTATAGCTACCCCATAGTTCCAAAACTTAGAAGAAGAAGAAAAAGCATCAAACCTCATATCTATGTCGGTGCCTCTCATCTAAAAAGCTCTGGTTGCCATATCTGAGAAAGATATAGTTTAGCCACTTGGTAATATAAATAGGAAAAGTCCTCCGGAGTGGCTTCAGATCATTACATAGCAAAGTCCGTCATTATGTGTAAATTAAAAAGATCCCTTCTCCAAAAAGAATCAAAAAAAGAAGGGGGCCAAAACCAGCTTCCTTTGCAGGTCTTTCTTATAGAAGATCAACAGGCAGTCTAATCTTTACAAGTTAAAATAAAAACATTCAGAAAGGTGACGTCACAATAGACTGTGATTGAGCAATCATTCTTCAGGAGGACAGAGCACACATAAAGCTAAACATGCACAAAGTAATAAGTAGTATAATCGCGTAAATTCATGTGCTATTGCAAGATCATATGGTGAGAAATGCAGGAACCATGTTGGAATATTTTATCTCAAACATTACAAATGCAACATACATCTCGGGCCTTCAAATTGTTTGGCACTCCTCCCTTTGTTTGACAATCCCAAAAGATTGAGATTTTTCTATGATTAGAAAATATTTAATTTTACATATAAAATTCTGTTACCTTCTCTAGAAAAAGTATTCCCTGTGTCCCAATTTGTTTGGCACTCCCTTCGTTTGACAATCCCAAAAGATTGAGATTTTTCTACAATTAGAAAATATTTAATTTTACATTTCCATTGCTGTTGACATGACTTGTTGAAGGTCCGCTAACTACCAAACATATACATTACCAAGGGTACTCTTTGGGTATTTTACGCATAGCTTATGTGTCAAAGCTCTTGTTTTCCTTCTTAAACCCTATTTCCATTTAAATATACACCAGAAAATTGGCATGGAATACATAATAAATGATGATGTCTCATTCATACTTTAATGTTGCTAGCTTGCGTAAGGGATAATATGGAATTGATGCTAACTTTAGTAATCTTTTAGATTGAATGTCCTATTTCAGTACAGACATCATATGGCCAGTTGAGAAAAACATTACATCAAGAAGAACTCGAACTTCCTCCCAGTTTATTAAAGATCAAACTTTCAAGTTTCAACTTCTACACCCCAAATAGAAACAACCCATAGCTCCACCAAGTTAAACATAGACACAAATAGCAGCATGTTAAGAAATTGTTCGGTGGTGCTCATCTGCTTATCTTTTAAGAGATTGTTCCATCGTGCTACTGCTTATCTTTCTTTTGCATGTACTAAAAGTATATCTTTCCGGCAGGTCAATTAAAACTACTACTTCCATTCTCCTGCCTAGGCAATGAGGTTGGAGGAAAAGAAGTACTTACAGTTTTGCAGATTTAGAATCTCTGACTTGAAAATATGTTCTTCTTGATCCTAGACGCATGGTACCACCCATATGTGTTTTTGAACCCTGCAAACATGGTTTACAGATTACTATTGCCGCAACTAAAAATAAAACCAAAAATATAGGAAAACCGTGATGAAAGGGAAGTATCAGAACTTAACCTCCGGCATAAATATTACACAAGGATTCTGAGTGTTGGAATCAAACTCCGTACTGTTCGCATCTTGCAATCCAAGAATGGATCTAGCATACTCGATAACAGCAATTTGCATGCCTAGACATATGCCAAGGAAAGGAATCCTGTTTTCACGGGCATATTTGGCAGCAAGTATTTTACCCTCCACACCTCTATCGCCAAATCCTCCGGGAACTAGTACAGCATCAGCCCCCTATCAGCATGACGACTTTGTCAGAATCATATCTATGAGATTAAGTAGGGGCGCTAAAGAGTGAGTTTGCCTATCATATGATCTTGAGAAACTACACCATACAGACCTTCAACAAATTCCAAGAACTTCTATAATTTTCAGGATTCTGCAATTAAGAATATAAGTCAGCTTTCGACATACAAGATATAAAGCAAGGAAACAAAGATGGACACAAAATTACCTCTTTGGCAGTTTCATCTTCAAGGTCACTGGCTGGAACCCAATCTACAATAAGTTTCCTGCGGCAAGCTACAGAGGAATGCAAAAGAGCCT